GATGTGTTCCAGTATGTAGGTATCAGGATAGTTTTGCTTTTGCTTTGTACTTCAGCACACTGGATTTGAAATGACAGTTACCATGAGATTAAAGTCCTGACTTTACAGGACCTTCATTGTTAACCCAGTAGGGATTTGAGCATCCCTTAAAGCCATTGCTGTATTTTCAATCTGTCACCAAATTAAATTGGCATCAGTCTGTTTGCAAAGGCTGTTAAATGTTAAATCTACTCGCTGCCATTCAAGGTTTGTTTGTTTAATGAACGCCACAGATGGGTCAGTCTGGGAGATGCAGACAAAACTGCACCAGGAAAAAAACAAACACATGGAAGCAACACTCCTATGTAAATTCTTTTTACACCTTGTGCAAACTGCACTGATCAAAGCTGAATGTATTCTTTGTCATATCATTGATATATTCCCTGTGAACACATGATGTAGGAACAGATGAGTGGGCAAAAGAAGAATGGAAGATATAGAACCATTAAACAAGGCCAGTGACCCCTTTTGGGCTGCTGAACTAGAAAATATGAGGGATGATGTGAACTGTATGGGTCTGTGGAAATAAATTCATGGGTACTTCTTTCCTTCTGCATGAATTTCCCACTGTATTTAAGATTGCTGCAGGTTTCAGAGTTTGTGAAGTACACTCCATTTCTTTTTTTTAATTTTATCTGTTGCCCCATAGCTTAACCATTGCTGTCCAGATGTGCAAACAGCCTCATCTGAGTTACAGGATGCCCTTTGATTGCCTATATGAGTAAACTTCCGGTTACTGCTTGGCAGGCTCTGTCTGGTATATGCAAAGCTAAATAGGGCTCTATGTTGTCATTCCCTTTAGCACAGACATCGATCTGACTCTCTTACCATCTCCCTTGCTGGCGTAAAGGTAGAACAACAATGTCCGTCACATTCCAGTGAGTTGAGAAAGATGTAACAATCCCACCTTGAATAGGCTGTGTTAAAACAAAGCTGAGTCTTTTATACTCTTCTGTACAATCTGGCCTTAAGAATAAAGAAATCCTGATTATTTGCAACTTTTCTAAAACCGAGTGAGTTTTGCATCACACACACAAGTCATCAGACGTGACACGGCATCATTTGACATCCTATAACTTACATATAATATTTTATCTCAGAATTCAGTGTGAGTCAATTCTGCAAATATTCTCTGGTAGTTATAAAGTACCACATGTGGGTAATTTGAATATGGGGCACATTTTATACTACACTGCACCTACCACACTGTATTTACACATAATACACACAACTGTTTATTACTTTTTTTTCTCAATGTATCACATTACTGCTTCCTGCTCCAAGTTTCCCACAAGAATCTTTACAGACAGTTAGTGTGGAAGTGGGAATTAAAAAAATGTTTAAACATTTCACTGATTGATACGAACACTACTCTTCTAATCATAGTGTTATTTCCTGTACATTCCTATTCATCTGTAAAAGTAAACAGATCAAGTATTTGAACTTCCTCTCCATCAGTACTTCTCTCTGTCTTGTTTCCCTCTCTGTCTTTGTGCTTTTGTGTCTGGATTTTTTTAAAGGAAGGAAATAGTTTCTTCTTTGTGTGGTTTGAGTTCGTCTTTTCATTGCGGTGCTCCAGCTCAAGCAGTCAAATTAAATGAAGTGGATCTGCTCTCAGCCTGTTGTCCCTGGCTTATTGTGTAGTTTCCCTCTCAGCCTGTCAGAGCCTCTACATCACTCTTCAGAAGTTAACTGTTATGAAATAACCTCCCTATTTTAGTCTCATTCAGAGTTAATTTCATTTATACTGTTATAATACTTAATCTAAGGCCCATTGACAAATTCCCATTTCAAATTTTGGCCTCAGGACATTGTCTGAATCCGCTCTCGTGAGCTAATCTTTTGTTTGAGAATGATTTGAGGTGAAGGAATAGACAGACTAGACATTATTGTAACCTGGCCCAGCCAAACCTAGCCTGTTATAACAATAGCCATTATGAAACCCGTTCCAAGGCCGGTGCACCGGAGGCTGGATAGGCTTGTTAATACTTGATTAAACTCCTCTGTAGCTGTCCCACAGTCTGTGACATGCAATACCTTTAGCAGCTATGACCTCACGTCTTTGTCCAGCTTGTCCTTTGTGACATCTGAATGTGTTTGGGTGGAGGCAGCACCAAAAGTTTGGATTTATTTTCTGCAACATCACAAACCACGAATGAAAATGATCACGCCTTTCTCACAAAATCTCCATCATGGAACAAGCTCCATGCAACAATCAAGGCAATGAAATACATTGAAATCCAGGGATAAGCTTGGAAGGAGATCTTGAGTTAACACATAGTTTCTTAGAAAGTGTTTGGTCCATCGTAGACCTTTGTCTGTTAAAACCACCTGTCTAATATTTTGTGGGTCCCCTGCATGCCACCATAACACTTCTGACTTGTCGTAAACTTCATAAGATATCTGAAGCTTTCCTGTTCCACCAAGATATTAGCATCAGATCCTCTAAATCAGGTTAATTTGCAGGTTGGAACATTCCATTCATTTGACTTGTCCCAGACAGAGTTCTCTTTCCTAGCAAACACGATTAGGATGGTGGAACATGTCACAAACATTCACAAGGATGCCAGGGCCTGAGGTTTACCAGCAAAACATTCTCCCACAGCCTCCCCTGTTACCATAAAACATCATGATGCCATCTCCTCCTCAGGTAAACAATGCACACACACCTAACCATCCATTTGAGGTAACAGAAAACGTGTTTCATCAGACCAAACGATCCTCTTCCATTGCTCCATGGGTCCATTCTGTCTCTTGTGCCCATTATAAGCACTTTTAGTGATGTACAGGGGTCACTCTGGCTGCTGTGGTTACAGAGCCTCACATACAACAAACTGTGATGCACTGTGATACAGTAGTTCCTCTGATGACGAGGATCTAGCCTTTGCTCTCCATGTCAATCACTGAGCCAATGAATCTGCCGTCCTTCCAGTGACTACTGTCGGTAGTCACTGGAAACAGCATTTTAGGAACACTGCGCAAGACCTATCAACCCTGACACAGTCCTCTAGCCATCACAGTTAGGCTCCTGTCAAAATCGTTCAGATTCTTATGCTGGCCCATTTTTCTTCCTTTCAACACATGAAGTTTAAGAAGTAACTTTTCACTTGCTGTGAAATTACTCTTACTTACTTTAACTGTCCTATTTCTGTCACATTTAAATGCAAAGTTCAGTCAAGTGTGTTCATTAAGGCTCAAGGGAGTCAACTTGTAGCACTGGATATGGTACCTGTTGTTTGTTCCTCTCTTCCAGAAGCATCATTAGTTACCCAACTGAGCTAACATAACAGGGATGAAGAGATAAAGACGCCATTATGAAACAAGTGAGAGAGAAATGTAGATGAGGGTGTGTGCCTGGTGCTATTTGAGGTAATGTCGATCTGTTTCAGTTTGTCAGTTTAGTCTAGGTCAGAGGAACTGATTTAATTTGGTCTTCAACTTTCTGGGACACATTGGTCTCAGTGGAGACTCAACTCTCTCCCTCTCATCACTGTAAAAAGAGCAGCTAGTATCCAACCCTGCATATAATGTGTCACGTATGTTGCTGTATGCCTGATTTATTTAATTATTATTATTCTCTTTCACATTTGCCACCATAATACTTTTTGACTAATTAAACCAGCCTCCTCCCCAAAGCACAAAGACTGGTGCATGTTTTCATTTGGCACATTTCAGACAGGCCCATCTGTTTCTGCATCAAGCCCACAGTTAAGCTGTACTCCTGTGTCCAGGAGGCTGACCTGAAAGTGCTGAGTCACCCTGAGCCTGACGGTGCCATTAATCAATAGCTTTATCTCTGAGCTGAGTGGAAACAAGGCAACACACTGGGAACACTTGAGAATACAGGATATATAGTTTCACTACATTTAGTTTCCTGTCAGTCTGCACTGCAGAGCTTGGAAATATAGAAAAGACAGCATGCATACTGTCAACCTCCTTTCTACATCTCTATCATTTGTCATGTGCAGCATCTCTTTTCCTTGCAGACTGTTTTCATGCCTACACACTGGCGACAGTCGAGGACAGAGGCATTGCATTTCCGTCTGTCTGTCCCATTCTTGTGAATGCAGGAACACTAAGTTCACTTGGACTCAACAATGAAATGATTAGATTTTGTTGGTCAAAGTTCAAGGTCACTGACGTTCTTGTGAATGTAATATATTCTGAACACCATAGTGGGAATTTCATTATATTTTTCACAGCCGTTTACTTGACTGAAAGATTAGATTTTCAAAGGTCAAGGTCACCCTGACGTCAAGTTACATTCATGAGAAAATACAATATATATATTGGGAGATTAAGTGTGTGCACATTTACTCTTTTGTAAACGTGGTATTCAAAACCTTTTTGTGTTGCACCTATATATATTTTGCCTGGATATGCACATAGTGACTTCCTCAACTCTCAAGTCTAGGTCACTGAATATAAAAATATCTGACGTAGATTACCAGGGATGTTTGTGTGTAGTCTGATAAAAACAAACCGACGTGTTGTCGGAGAGACATTTTCAAACTGTTTGCTCTGATAGATGTTCCAAAATAAGATTGGCACCAGAAATATGGAAACACAAGAAACACACAGAGCCTTGTTTATATTAAATTGACAAAAATGTATTGAGAGAAATAATATCTTCATATTAGTAATTGTCAGGCATCTTCTAGTAAAGCTATGTGGTGTGTTTAAGTAGTGTACAGTACACTATGGATACTATGTGGTGTGCTGGAGAATAGGCTGGTTTAAATGCTGCGTGTGTGCAGACTGGAGTGATGAGCCCCTCTAGTAGGTTCACTAGTAGATCACTGGAAAATGTGATGCATTCAAGCCAATGTGCTAAATCATTTGGTATATAAACTCCTTTTTTGATTTGAGTTAAAGATACAGTTTGTTATGGGCACACTGTCCTGTGGAACTGCTGCTGAAGTACCTCTAGTGACACTTTTCTGTTTCCTCTTTCTCTCTAGCTTCTTACTCCCAGTATAGATCAGAGGATGGCACAGTGTCATCAACCCCCCGTCGAAGCTCCTCAGGCTCCGGACAGACCTACACTCCCACCCCTATCCCCACTCCAACCCCAAGTCACGCAACCATCGGCAACAGCCCCAGTAACAATGCTGCTGCTAAAATGGGTAAGTCATGCTGGTATACAGGGAAATATTTCTGTTATGTAGGAAAATGAGACCAAATCGAGGATTGTCTGTCTTCACCAGTCTGTGTAACCTGTTGTTATTCTGCTGTTTAACTGTTATTTGTGCTGCAGACTCGTTACTCTTCAACAAGATTGACGAGAGACAGAAGTTGGCCCGTGAGCGCAGGGAGGAGCGTGAGAAACAGAATGGTGTGTGTACTCTGTCACTGTGTGTGTGTGTGTGTGTGTGTGTGTGTGTGTGTGTGTGGGGCAGAGTTTAGACTTTACATCAATGTGTAAAGGGGGTTTAAATGCTCCCTCAGTCCTTCTATGTCTTCCCTGCAAGATGAACTTGGAAACTTGGTTGTTAGCAATGGTCAAAATGCTTGTTTCTCTGGTTGTTACATAAAATCTTGGCCAAAGCCCAGCACCCCGGTTGCCACGGCACCCATGTTATATAATGGGTCAGGCTATTGGACAACTTTTAGGGACAGTTTTTTCAAAAGTGCCAGTGAGTATGTGCAAGTGAACAACAAACTGCAGATGGATTTTAGGGAATCATGACCCGTTCGACTGTTTATAGTGTGTTTGTGTACAGTGGTCATACCTCTGGCCCCAGCTGAGGGGCCGAGGGATTTGCTTTGTGTTGAGAGCTAAAGCCGAGTCACATGATCTACAGCTGACCCATCACACTGCTGCTGTAAGCCTGTGTGTGTGTGTGTGTGTGTGTGTGTGTGTGTGTNTGTGTGTGTGTGTGTGTGTGTGTGTGTGTGTGTGTGTGTGTGTGTGTGTGTGTGTATGATTTCTTTCTGTTTTTATGATGTAAGCATATGTGAGTACTTATGCATGTACATCAAATCATTATCTACCGTGGGTGTGTGTGTTTCACACCTCAGCTGTCAAGGAGGCGCAGTGGCAGGCACGTGAGGAGCGAGCCCGGCAGCACTATGAGAAGCACCTGGAGGAGAGGAGGAGAAAGCTCGAGGAGCAGAGGGTAAAGGAGGAGAAGAGACGGGCTGCCGTGGATGAGAAACGGCGGCAGAAACTGGAAGAGGACAGGGTACTGACACACGTCGTCATGTACACACCTGTGCATCCACACCTCATAGAAACACACACACACACCTCCGAGTGCGACTTACTATCATGCATCATCTTCTACTAATAATATCCTCATGAATGAGCCTCCAAATATCTAAATATCTTTTTTTAGTAAAACATTTACATGATCTGTTCCCCTTCCTTCTTTAGTGAGTTGGAGTTTGAACTCCCCTGCTATCTTCTGTCTGCACCCTTATTTCCTGTTTTTATTCACACACCATTTATTTTAAGAGTTTCAAAGTTTAATATTAATTGCTGCCAACTACAGCTACAGCGCACAAAACATGACAGTTCAAGTGTTCAGAGTGTTTTGTTTTTAATGCTGATGATGTTGTAATTTATCATCTGACTGAAGGTTCGTCATGAGGCAGTGATGCGTCGGACGCTGGAGAGGAGCCAGAGAACCAGGCAGAAGCCCAACCGCTGGTCGTGGGGAGCAGCCCTGAACACAAACACTCCCAGCACACCGGCCGGTATTTGAACACATCACACACCAACACACATGGCCCGCATAGACTCACACCACTCTCCCACAGTCATTAGAGCTTCTTGGAATCATGTGGTGTGAGGATTTCACCCATCAGCTCTTTCAGCTTTACTGAACACTGTTGATATCTCATCTCCCTGATGTCCGGCTGCGTGCCTCTTGTGTAAATATGACTGCCTGCCTCTGCGTGTCAGTATTGTTCTGCCATGTTTATATTTGAACTTTTCAGATCCACTGCGCTCTGTTGTTACTGCTGACTCACACCCTGCTCTACCTCTCTGCCTCTCCCTCCCTCTCTCCCTCATTCTCAACCTCTGCCTGCCTCACTTTCTCTCTCTTCTCTCTCTTCTTTGCTCTTTGTCTCTCTGCCATTGTCCTCCCACCTCCTGGTCCAGGTTTTGTCGAGTCGGCTTTCCTCTATCCACTCGACCTTGCTGGACTGGAGCACATGCAGAGTGCTTTCAGTCTCTACCACAGATACGGAATGACCTCCCAATGTGAATATTATAATATTGGTTAGCTGGCTAGTGTTAGGTCAGCACATTGGCATTAGTGTAAATGTAGGCCAATATGAATGGCACAACTAGTGTGTGTTATATTTTTGTGTAGCAGTCCAGTTTGTCTTGAAGTTTTCAAAAACATATCTTCATTCATTCATTCAAACCATTTAGTCTCTTTTTAGATTCAGATTGAGCACTAATTCATGTTTAATATGATATTTAATATCCCTATTAGTGACATATTTGTAGTTTTTTTTATATCTAATCTGACTTAACTAGAACTCATAGACTAGAGTAACGCTGTCTCCAGCTCTCTTTCTCCTCTCTGTCTTTAAGTCCTTCATTAATTTGGTATCATTATGCTGCTTCTTCGTCAGATGGTGACAGGCGGTCAGTGTCCACAATGAATTTATCCAAACATGCAGACCCTGTGATCACCAAGCGCCTCTCTTACTCCTCCGCGACACTCCTGCACTCACCAGACAGAGGTAACAAAAACTCGTTATGCATCATATGTCTGCCTTTGACTGCATCTAGTGCCATTGTTTGTGTCTGTTGTATGTTGACTTGATTTATAGTCTTGTTACCACTCATTACTGTTTTCTTTTAGTTACTCTTATTGCTTTCTTGCCAAGTATTAGATGACAAGATCTGTGTCTGTATGGTAGATATGAAGGTTTATTCAGTGGATGATTAGCTTAGCTTAACATAAAGACCAGAAACAGGGGGAAACAACTAGCCTGTCCAAAAGTAACAATTTAACCTAGCACCACAAATTAAAGCCTTAAAGATGAACTGATACGATTTTGGTGGTCAACAGTCCAAAGTCCCAGTGACCTTTGCATTGTTGTGAACGTGATATATCAGGAAAACCAATACAGGGAATTTCAATATATCTGGCATAAACATTCACTTGGAGTCAAGGATGGCCTGATTAAAAGGTCGGGGTCAAAGGTCAAGGTCACAGTGACCTCATATGGGTCTGGAAGAAAACTTATGTAGGCTGAAACTGCACTGGTTGGCAGAAACATACAAGATGGTGAATCTTATGACACTCATGTGCTTTTTTGGATTAAATGTTAATAATTAAACTTTAGAGGGGCTGGTAGCTGGGATTTGTTACTGTTGGACAGAGCCAAGCAAACTGTTTACTCTGGTCCTCAGGTAGTCGGCAGCTGACTGCAGCTTCATATTAAACATTATTTAATAAATGTCTGTCTCTAAAGTATGTACTGATGTTCGTATGTTGCTGACAGGTTTACAGATGAGAACAGCCTCCTCCCCTGTCATTAACAAAGCTCAGTCCAAACTCCGCCTACACCAAGGAAAGACCAACCCACACAGAGACACAGGTGTTTTCTGGGAAATTGTTTGCAACGTGGTCCCTCATTTTAGACACATCGGACTATGTCACAAAGGAAAAAGATCATGGGCTGGAAACACAAGGAATTCCAAAAATAAATCAACAATGAGTCCTCTGCCTAATCTCTCAGTGAAAACAAGGAAACATGGATGATAATGAAATGTCTGGCTGAACAGTCCTCGGCCATTTTATGGATAACGTTTTGTCCTAATAACCTTGAATTTCGACGTCCTGCTCTTCAAAGGATGTGATCTGAGATTATATTAAATGTCCACACTCGACTGACTGAATGTACTGTATGTGTATGTGTTTACACTTGTGCGTTTCATCAGAGGGATCAAGATTTTTTTTTCCCCCTCTAGCGTGACCCCCTTTTCTCTAATCCTCTGTTGGATAATCTTTTTGTTTTTGTGGGAACGATTTTCATCCCAGCTGAAAAGTTCGGCACCCACATTTTCTAGGGACGTGTAGATAAAGGCACCGCAGAGGCGCACTCAAACAGACGCTGTGAGAAAGTCACTCATTTACTAAGTGGTGCATAGTAGACCCCATTCAGGTGTACACACGTCCTTTACGCTGACCATTGTAATCAGATCTCTCAGGACGGGTGTCATGTGATGAATGCGGTGGTAGAGATTCAAATTCCTTTGCACAGTTTCCAGCCCAGTTGTATCTTTGCTTATTGTGAAACCTGCAACCTTGTCCTCTGCTTCATTATCAGCGTCAACAATGCTGCATGTTTTGCTTGATGAACTCTCCTTTGTCTATTTGTCTAGGTTAAATACATTTTTGCATTGTTCCCACCCAGAAGCACTCTGCATGGCCAAATAAAAGTTTTCAGCGTTTATTATTTATTTTGAATGCTCTCCTTTGTGTTTGCTCTTCATTGGGGCTCCACTTCAGGCTTTCGCTCATAATTCACAATGTGGTGCTTGCAGGTGTAGGTGTAACATAACAGCCAGCTGTGCATGGTTATGCCTTAATTTAAGCTCTTGCCTTCACTGTGCAATGCGAGGGAAGACGCTGCAGATACAGTAATAACACATCATTGATAATCTGCCGTGACTGATTTCTCAGGGGAATCAGTGGGCAGTTAATAGCATTAGTTGTCTTAAAACATCAAACATTACGTGTGTGTGTGTGTGTGTGTTTGTGTTCAGGCCTCCGCCGTCTACCATTGACGCCGTGGGAGAGCAATATGGTCAACCGCCTGCAGCAGCCGACACACTCCTATCTGGCCCGGAGTCGCAGTGCCATGAGTCTGTCTGGAGATCAAACAGGTAACACACACACACACGTATGCATCTGTCACAACACTCGCCTCCTCCTGGCTCGTGTCGTGTGCGAAGGATGTGCACTGCTCAAAGTATTTATGCTGTTTAATCAGATTTAAAGGGTCTTAAAGCATTATACGTCTGAAACTTTCTTCACCAGTCTGTATCAGGCACTCAAAGCTCTCTCTCTCTCTCACACACACACAAACACACACACGGGTAAGTAATCAAATAAGCTATTTAGGAAGTATTCCACTCTTGATATCAATCTTTATTTCCTGTGTGTTTTTCACTGTGACATTTTGGATGGCTGGTACATCTTCAAATTTATATTTGAGCGTTCAAACTTGGTTTTAAGGTTCAGGTTAGGTTTAGGTTTGACTTCGGCTAACACCTGGGCGTCACTGGATGTGTGACACTTGTACATCGTTGTCTTGGTTTTCATTTCGGCACTCCCATGTTATTAGATTAGAGCACCCACGCTGCTGTAAAAGGTGTAAGCCACTCTGTTTTCTCTGTGTTCTGCGCGCAGTTCATTGCAAAACAAGTCGTTGTATTTCTTTATCTCACTTTCTAATCATATTTTTTAGCCCCTATAAATCCTTCTCTTAAAGCCTGTTCTTCCAGTCTGTAGCACTGACATCTTCTTTCTCTTCTTCTGTTTCCACCACCACTTCTTCATTCCTCTCACACCTGCACCCATCTTCCCACACCTCCTCGGCTTCTCTTTATTCATTCATCCAACATCCTTCTCCCTCCTTCCTGCTATTTTACTGCCATTTATCAAACCCCTCCCCTATGTTTACGACTCCTCGCACCATCCCAATCCATTGCTGTCCTCAAATCCCAAAACTCCCACCTCGTACATCACCATAGCCATGCCTGTGTGTCCTCGCTCAGTGTCTTGCCAGCCCATGGGCTCCATGTCCTTCAAGGCCCTGCAGGCTCAGCCGCTGCCTCACTGCCGCAGCCAGGAGAGGAGCCTCAGCAGGGAGACGGCCTCGTCCTCCTCCACCGCCCCACGCAGGAGGACGACCGGAACCACACAGGTAGTTCATGTCATTAAACCTGCACATATAAAACCTCAACAGCCTGGTTTCGGAAGTAAAAATACCCTTCATTTATATGTACATTCGAGCAATTTTACATTCAAGAAGTAAGGATCATTTGCAATGGTTTATGGGATGTGTAGTTCCTTCACTCTTAAAATGCTTATGTACAGCTGTGCACTTTTTTTTCTGTTTTCCAATCAATTTTCGATCCATATCAAATGTTCAATGGTCATGAGTCATGTCTTGGCTGGTCGTCCTGGTTCCAGGTTTAAAACTCTTTGTATAAGGATTTTCTGTAACATCAATGAAGATCATGAATGGGGAAATTAACTTTCGGAACCACAGCCGTTCTAAAAGTGGGTGGGCTCTATGTTTGACACTTCTCTAGAGCAGCAGAGACGTAAGATATGAAACTCTCGGACTGATGTTAAAATTGATACGTTTGGTACGAAGACGAGACGTTTGTATGATCATATTAACTTGTCTTTTCTTCATCGCTGCTCTTAAATATTTATACAAATTGCTATTTTCCCTTTTTTATTTTTTATTTTGTGCTCAAGCACTAAAGTCATGCACTACATTTCTCTCCATATCTTTATTTTTGATGGTGATAATGTTCCAGATCAGTCTGACACAATATATCAGAGTATCTGTGGAACTCTGCTACATGCACACATGCAAACACAAGAGCACACACACACACACACACACACACACACACACACACACACACAGCATACATACAGGCCACTGCATCCACAGTCCATCTGTCTGCTGCTGTCTCACAGCTTATGGCCATTAAGGTCTTAGAAGGAGGGCATCTTCTGCACTGTTTATCCCACACACTGACCCACAGACACATACATGTACCCACTCACATTCATACCAGACAAAATCCAGTCATATGAAGATGTACATTTATAGTGTAATGATTTTTATCTTTATTCAAATGTTGATGTGCACTGTGCTAACGTTTGGTTCCCTGCACATCAGACTTCAATCTTATAAGATGGAGATAACAACCTGATGATGATCCACCATCTGAATTAGTTGTTTTTTAATGGATGTAACAGATTTGTCTTTGCTCAGGCTCGGTTATGTACGGCTGAAGGAGTTTAATCCTTTAACTAATCATCTACTGCTGCTGTCACTGGGGCACCTGAGCACCGTCTGTACCACCTGATTACTTTGTGTGTGTTGCTAAGGACATTTTATTTGAAGTGCTACTTCAGTGACGTTATAGTCGAGGCTTACCAGGCTCCTGACTGAGTGAAAATAGATTGTGATGTGTTTCCCATTCATCTCCTGCACCAGCACCGAAAGGACCGTGACAACGTCAGGAAGTCCTGGAGCAACCTGTCACTCCCACTGGCCCCCATTATGATTTTTCCTCCCAGCAAACGCTCCTGTTCGCCAGGCAAAAAGATCAGTAAAACGACAGCACCTTCTCCTGGCAGGTAGGAGAACTGTTTTTATAACAGCACAATGGTCATAATCAGGTCGTAGTTCTAGCTCATTTAATGCAGGAAGAATTAGGCTCAACACAGGATGGCTGGCAGTATGTGAAAATTAGTATTTTTCTTCCTGCACAGGCCTCCACAGAAGACAGCAGGGCGTCCTCCGACCCCCAAGCTGCTTAAATCCCCGGGGGCAGAAGACCCTGGTAACCTTCGGCCAGTCAGAATCACACCCAACAACCCTCACTCCCCAACACCAAACAGAGCCCAAGCCCAAGAAGAGGAGCAGGAACAGGTCCTCAGCCCTTCTCAGCCTCGACCTCAGCCTCTGGGTCAGAACAAGACCTCGAATGAGCAGACGCCAACGGCACCAACAGTATCGGGCGGTCAGTCGCTACTCTTCAGCCACTTTCACGTCCACATTATCATGCAGCATGGAGGGTTAACAGTTTTATTATGGGTCAGTTTTAAATCTTTATTTTTGTCTTCTAGAGAGCATAAGCAGTCCTCCAGCCCAAAGACTTTCAGCAGGCACCACAAATCCAGAGGAGGCGAGTCGTATCCTGGCTGAGAACAGACGGCTGGCCCGCGAGCAGAGGGAGAGAGAGGAAGAGAAGCGCAGGCTACAGGAGGAGCAAGCGAGGTACAGTGTGTCTATGATCTCTAGAGAGCCAGTGGATGATACTGACGCTGTGTGTATGTGCATCTTTGACTCTGAGTCATTTCTGTTACAGGCTAGCAAAGGAGGAGATGGCTCGCCGGAAAGCGGAGGAGCGAGTAAAGAGAGAGGAGGAGGCTCAGCAGCAGGCTGAGGAGAGGAGAAGAAAGGAGGAGGAAGAGAGGAAGGCAGAGGAAGAGAGGCTTGAGAAAGAGAGAGAAGAGGCAGAGAGACTCCAGACACAGGTCAGAAAAAAGGTACAAGTGAAGTTACAACACCCCCAAGGAATCTGTTGATCCCACAAAATAAAATGTGTGTGTTTCTGTGTGTGTGTGTTAGAAAGAGGAAGAGGAGTCTCGACAGAGAGAGGAGGCAGAGCGACTGAGGCAGGAGAGAGAGAAACACTTTCAGAAAGAGGAGGCCGAACGCCTGGAGAGAAAAAAGGTGAAGCAGGTTCTCTCACACACACACGCACACACGCACGCAC